GACAGACATGACTGAGTGACTAACTTTTATTTTCAAATTGCTTGTTATATGGATTTTCTAGGTACAAAGCATTTTGCTGCTCTCTGGAGAAAATTGTTCTCAGAAATCTAAAAATTTTCAATATGAAATTAGGATGGGTACCCCCTTTAGATATATAACCATACATGTTCATCCTATCTTGGTTTGTTTCTTCAACATAAAATTGATTTTCTTGGTCCCATGTGACCTCTTTCATGGAGGACCCTATCCCCTTCCTACTATACAGAAAGTAGTTTTCCTGTAATCCTGGGTCTCATCCTTCGTTTCTCTCTCCTTTTGCTTGTGTATATTGACAAAAAATAAAAAAAAAAAGGAAAAAGATGAATGGAAGATAAATTATCTGAGTCCTTCCGTATTTTAAAAATTACTTTTTTCTTACCCTCAGAAGACACTGATGGTTTAATTTGGTATAGAATCAAAATGGTACACAATTTTCTTTAAAACTTTAAAAGCATAGCTCCATTGTGTTCTAGACAAAGTATATGAAAGAAAAATCTGTTGCCTATCTGAAACTCATTTATTTCTAGATGACCTGTTTTATTTGTGTGTCTGTTTGTTTTTCTTTGTTTCTCTGGGAGCTTTTAGGTTATTTTTATGACTCAAGGCCCTAAATTTCAGGGCATGTCTAAGTGTATGTGGCAGTAGCCCTTGGTTATGCTCATTAAGTATCTCCAGCTCTCACTTCTGAGCCCTTGAGGCAGGTTGGACCACATGACCAACTATGTACAGTGAGGGTGAGTGAATGTGTTCTTAGTCTTTCTACGTCTCCACAGACATGGAGACAATCTAATCTAAACAGAGAAGGATGGTCCGGTCTAATGGAAATATTCACATTTCAGATCCTAGACTTGACCAGAGAATGGATAAAAGATGAACTGAACTCAGGTTCAGTTCAGTTCAGTTGCTCAGCCGTGTCTGACTCTTTGTGAGCTAAGAACCGTAGCTTGCCAGGCCTCCCTGTCCATCACCAACTCCTGGAGTCCACCCAAACCCATATTCATTGAGTCAGTGATGCCATCCAACCATCTCACTCTCTGTCGTCCCCCCTCCTCCTGCCCTCAAACTTTCCCAGCATCAGCATCCCTTCAAATGAGTCAGCTCTCCCCATCAGGTGGCCAAAGTATTGGAGTTTCAGCTTCAACATCAGTCCCTCAAACGAACACCCAGGACTAATCTCCTTTAGGATGGACTAGTTGGATCTCCTTGCAGTCCCAGGGACTCTCAAGAGTCTTCTCCAACACCTCAGTTCAAAAGCATCAATTCTTCTGTGCTCAGCTTTCTTTACAGTCCAACTCTCACATCCATACATGACCACTGGAAAAACTATAGCCTTGACTAGATGGACATTTGTTCACAAAGTAATGTCTCTGCTTTGTAATGTACTGCCTAGGTTAGTCATATCTTTCCTTCCAAGAAGTAAGTGTCTTTTAATTTTATGGCTGCTATCACCATCTGCAGTGATTTTGGAGCCGAGAAAAAAAAGTCAGCCACCGTTTCTACTGTTTCCCCATCTATTTGCTGTGAAGTGATTGGATGAGATGCCATGATCTTAGTTTTCTGAATGTTGAGTTCTAAGCTAACGTTTTCACTCTCTTTCACTTTCATCAAGAGGCTCTTTAGTTCTTCTTAACTTTCAGCCATAAGGGTGGTGTCATCTGCATATCTGAGGTTATTGCTATTCCCCCTGGCAATCTTGATTCCAGCTTGCGCTTCATCCAGCCCAGCATTTCTCTTGAAGTACTCTGCATATAAGTTAAATAAGCAGGCTGGCAATATACCTTGACATACTCCTTTTCCTATTTGGAACCAGTCTGTTGTTCCATGGCAACTTCTAACTGTTGCTTCTTGACCTGTATACAGGTTTCTCAAGAGGCAGGTCAGGTGGTCTGGTATTCTCATCTTTCAGAATTATCCACAGTTTATTGTGATCCACATAGTCAATAAAGCAGAAATAGATGTTTTTCTGGAACTCTCTTGCTTTTTTGATGATCCAGCGGATGTTGGCAGTTTGATCTCGGGTTCCTCTGCCCTTTCTAAAACCAGCTTGAACATCCGGAAATTCATGGTCCACATATTGCTGAAGCCTGGCTTGAAGAATTTTGAGCATTACTTTACTAGAGTGTGAGATGAGTGCAATTGTGAGGTAGTTTGAGCATTCGTCGGCATTACCTTTCTTTGGGATTGGAATGAAAATTGACCTTTTACAGTCCTGCAGCCACTGCTGAGTTCTCCAAATTTACTGACATATTGAGTGCAGCACTTTCACAGCATCATCTTTTAGGATTTCAAATAGCTCAACTGGAATTCCATCACCTCCACTAGCTTTATGTGTAGTAATGCTTTCTAAGGCCCACCTGACTTCACGTTCCAGGATGTCTGGCTCTAGGTAAATGTGAGTAATCACACCTTCGTGATTATCTGTGTCATGAAGATCTTTTTTGTACAGTTCTTCTGTGTATTCTTATCACATCTTCTTAGTATCTTCTGCTTCTGTTAGGTCCATACCATTTCTGTCCTTTATTGAGCCCATCTTTGCATGAAGTGTTCCCTTGGAATCTCTGATTTTCTTGAAGAGATCTCTAGTCTTTCCCATTCTATTGTTTTCCTCTATTTATTTGCATTGATCACTGAGGAATGCTTTATTATCTCTCCTTGCTGTTCTTTGGAACTCTGCATTCAAATGCAGGTTATTCAAATCATGTTATTGCTTCATAATTATGAATGCAGGAAAGTTAAAAAAAAAAAAGAAGTGTATTTATATATAGATATACATGCAACATAATTTAAACAAACCATTCCTGTCACTAATAAAAATGGACCAAACATTTTCCTGGACTTTGGCAGGGTAGATATTCTACTACTCAAAATGAAGTAGAAAAGAGTAGCTTAGTCTCCATAGAAATTATTATTTTATCTTCACTTAAGGAAGTGTGGTGATTTATCAGCATTTGGTTTTCTGTTCATATACATGATATTAGTGTATACTATGTCATTAACTGAGGATGGCATGACAAGCCACTTCAGTATTCTTGCCTGGAGAATCCCATGAGCAGAGGAGCCTGGACAGCTATAATCCACAGGGTTGCAGAGAGTTGAACATGACTGAGCGACTGAGTGCACACATGCACACACACACACACACACACACACACACACATGTCATTAGCTATGTATCATTTTTACTCCTTAGGTCACAATATTCTTGTTCAAAATAAAAATGAATTGATAACTTTAAAATATTTTGCTTATTTTATGTTTATTTTCACCACCATTTATATCAACTACTATGTGAAACCAGAGGTATTACTGTATCATTATTTTCAGATCCAAATTTCACCTGATTCTACCTGCAATGTCAAAGGATTAAAATAAGTGAGAAAAGGAAAAAAACAAAAACAGACAAACAAAAAACACACCATATTTACTAAATAGGGAATATCATTATTTGAGAGCTGGGTATACTTTCTGTATTGCAATGTGTCAGTTCTCAAAGACACTGACATAAAAACAGCAATAATCTGTTCTCTGCATTTCATAACAATGTCTTTTTTAATCTGTACCATCTGCTTATGAATGAGTTATTAACTTCATCATACTGCTGGTGCTCAAATCCAATATTCTTTTAGCTTCAAATATAATAGGAAGAGAATTTGTTCTTAATTGTCAAAACAAAAGTTTTGCTAAAAGAAGAAGCCTCATTTCCTTAAGGAAATCAAAGCAGCAAAAACCCTCACAATGAATGCTTCTAACGGAAGTCCGTTTACTGTGGGGGAAAAAAAAATAATGGCAATAGATGTACTGTTGAAACCGATGTGGAAAACATATTCACAGCCATATGTATTTTTTAATCAATTAAATACACAACTGTAAAGACTAAACATTTTTGATATTTTCTTCTTCCGTTCCCAACCATATAAAAAGTCAGATGTAGACAGTATCAGAAAAATCCAGGGAAATGAAACTGTGGTACAGGGTTATCCTGTGCTTCCCATACTTATAAAAAGTATTTAGAGAGACTATTTCACTGAAGATATAATGAAAGAAAGAAAGTAGAAAAGGTCATGATATTATTCAACAGGATTTTGAGGATACATAAAAACTTGACCCATGAAGTTCTGATTGGTATAAAATAGGTTACTATTTATGACTTTGATACAAAACTATCAACAACAATTTCACCTTCAGAGCTTTAGTTCAGTGGCTTCCTATGAGAAGATTTTTGCCTATATGAAATTCTGCTAAAAGATGGTACATACCAGTGGATATTTATCTACAAGTAGAACATCCATATTTCTTTTCTGGAACTGGATATGTGCTTTCAGGATCTTTGACCTCAAACACCTACACTGCATCTTTCAGCATTAGATATAAAATTTAGAAAATGTGCACATGGGGCTAAGTCTTCAGAGTTTATGAGTCTCAATAAAATTATCACACAAAATATCATTATTTAATTTACATAAACTTAAATTTTATTTCTTTTATAGTAACTTTATTACTCCCATTATTTATTTTTCTACTGAAATGATTCTATTTTGGAAACTTTGTTCAAGTAAGTAAACATTCTTATTCTGAATAAAGAAGAATTTATTCTTTTTTTTTTTTTTAGAGTTGATGCTGAATTTTAATTCAGAAGTCAACATAACAGTTAAATACATGTAATAAATCGAAAGTGTTAGTGAAATAGAAGCTAGGCTTTCTATTTCCAAACATGTTTCCAAAAGCCTGTTTTATTTAAAAACACACATAGGGTTGGACACAAATGTCTTTTTAATCATTGTGGAGGAGATTTCACTGACTGCTTAAATTGATGGCTTTCCCTCTGTACTGAGTTCACTGTTCTTGAAGCCTTATAAAGGATGAGAGGTTGGGTCTCTTCCTTTACTTCTCTCTTTGTTGTAATATGAATCCGTGAATGACAGAAATAACAAGACCAATTTTTCCGAACCATTTGGCAATCATTAAAGCTTCGAAGTTGCTGGTTTTCCTACTGGTGTTTTACAACCAAGCATTTCTTCTAACTTTGTTGTGGCAGGTTCAGTCACGTTAAATATATAATCATTATTTACCTTCTTCTTCTCCACCACACCGAGCCTCACAAAAGCTCCTAAGGCATTCTTATATACATTGGAGGATAATACATCATAACACTGTGAGACACCTTGATCAAGAAGCTGACTTGTGAATTTTCTAACTCTTATGAAATACTGTTTCTCAGTGAAGTAGTCTTCTTCATTCAAGAGGTATTTGCAAATTATCTGATGAGATTTCACCAAAGGTTTAAAGAACCCTATTAAAAACTCTAACACAGTATTTCCTTTTCCTGTAACTAGGATGTCCCTTGTCATCACTTGTATGGCCTCACTCTTACAAAGCAAGTAACAGCCTTCTTCAACGTCCTTTAGTTCATTTCCTGGAAGACAGATGAACTCATCTGAAAAAATACTGCATAGGAAGCGAAAGCAACTGTAGAGATCCTCTTTGAACCCAGGTGTCATCTGCAATGCCACAGCGACTAAGGAAGGACAGACAAAAATGTTGAGCATCTGGTTCCTGTATGCCAAGCACACGAGGAGGGTGATATGCTGGGACATGAGTCCATCCACCAGTTCCGAGTCTCTGCACTCCATTTTCAGAATCACCCAATCTTTGACAAGGCTGGCGATGTTGGAATGCAGAAGAATGCTCGACTGGATAACTTCCTCAGCAGGTTCATTATCAGGCCAAGTAAGAAACCCCCCGAAGGCCTGGGTTAAGCTTTTCAGCCATAAGGTTTTTTCCAACAGGGCATCAAAGTCCATGGATGGCCGGTTCTGAAGCAGGACAGCGACTATTAGCGGCCACGGGCTCGGGACAAGGTTTTGAATTTGGAGGAGCTGCATTTTATAGGCAACTTCAGTGACAAAGGTGTGCATCTCCTCTAACTGTTTCTGAGGAATATATCTGGGAACCAAGTTATACGGGCTCTGACCCATCCTCCCATTGGCCAGAGATCAAAGCGACACAGGGTCTCCAAAGCACACATGGATGTTTCCAAACTTCTCAGAAAGGATTCTCCTGGCTTTCAAGAATCCAGTTGTAGATTCTTTCGGCTTAGGAACCCCTAGAAGCTCATATGCATACAGAGTTTCTTCCAGTATCCTATTGTAACTGATGCTGATTGGAACAACGTAGGTATCAAAAACTTCTCTTTTAAAAAATGGTTCCATCACAATATTCAGAAGACCAAATTTTGGAGTCAGTGTCTTGGCAGAGCAGCTTTTTGTCCCTTCGAGGAAAAATTCAACGGGAGCATAACCATTCTGTAACATGGTTTTCACATATTCGGAGAACACGGCCCAGTAGAGTTTATTGCCACCAAAGCTGCGCCGTATGAAGAAAGCCCCTGACATCCGCAGCAGCTCGCCAGTCATCTTCCTTCTCAGGAAATCCATTCCTGCTGCTATGACCGGCACAGGTAAGTCATAGTTGTACAAAAGGAAAGACAACATCAGAAAGTCGATGTAGCTCCGGTGACTGGGCAGCAGGACAACTGGATGCTCCTGGATGACCCGCTGTAGTTTCTGAATCCCTTCTTCATTTACACTCACTTTTGAGAAAATCTGTTTAAATATTTTACTCAGGGCAAAGGCAAAAAACCGAATGGCTCCTAGCCGCAGCTTGTGGCTCATTTCATCCAGGATCTCACAGGCTTCCTCTCGGAGGACCTCGACAGGTTGAAGGGATTCCTTGGAAAGCTGTTTAATGAAGTAATGAATCTCTTCAGAATTGAGAATACTACATTTAATATCACTTGGCTTACAAGGAGTAATTCCCTTATAGACAAGAGGTGTGTAGCATTTCATTGCAAACTTCAAGTCACTGACATGCCTCCTCTCCTCTAAAGCATCTTCAAACTCATCCCACTTTTTGAGCTCTTTCCAGTTGAGGAGCACGACAGCCCCAGGACCGGTGGAGCTGACGGAGAAATAAGAGTTGGATGAACCAGAAGGATCCATGCTGCGGCTGCTATCCTGGGTGTGGCCTGGGATTCTTTGCTAAGCAGTGGTGGTGCTGCTGCTATGGGCGGTTCTTCCATGCGGGGCGGCAGACCTTGCCTAGGGCGGCAGCACCCTGTACGGCCGCTCCACATGACCCCGGGTGCCGCCATCTTAACCAGGACGGAAGCCAGAATTTATTCTCTCACAGAATATTCTGCGCTTTCATGATTATTTCTGTTCCCTCTTTGAAAACCAAACTATACCAAAATTATGAGATTCAAAGTTGATTCCATCCTAATTTTAATATCAAAGGAAAAGCATAAAAATAAAAATTTAAAGATGATTTGATTATCTGAAGTTATTGATTCCATACTGATATTTACTATGTGTGTATCAGTTCAGTTCAGTCGCTCAGACATGTCCTACACTTTGCCACCCTGTGGAATGTCACACGCCAGGTTTCCCTGTCCATCATCAACTCCTGGAGCTTACTCAAACTCATGTCCATCAAGTCAGTTATGCCATCCAACTATCCTATCCTCTGCAAAGGATGAAGTATGTGTATAGCTCTGAGAATTACTTGGATATACTAAATGAAAGTAAATTCAAATCAAGAAATATTAGATTATTATATAACACATAAGAGTTACTCTGTAGGAATGCAACAATGAAAAATAAATGGTTTGTTATGGCTTTGCACATGAACAATTTTCTCCTGCCAAACTAATTTCCCAATTTCATCATACAGGTAACAAGGTCATCAGTTTCCAGCCCTTGAAGCCTTAGACAAAACATTTCAGTTGGTAAGAAATGGGCACAGAAGCAATTATCATGTTACAAGACTGAAGAGCTGGTGCTGGATGACAAATCACTTTTGCACACAGCCAAAATTTCCCACCTCTTAGCTTCTTCACACCCAGCACAAAGTAGATACCTCTGTAAGTGGGTGCGGTAAACCATACCAGGACATAAGATGTGGCAATTACAACACAGATAAGTCTAGAGAAGTGATCAATATTGTGTACACAAAACAAATTACTTACCCTTGATCATCATCTGTATCCTGTAGGTTTTTCTGTGATGATATTGGGAGAGTTACAAAGAAATAATTGATTTTGGATTCAGATGAAAATTGTCTTCTATCCATGATACAAAAAGACATTAAATTACTTCACTAAGTTACTTCAAGGTTACATGAATTTAGTAATTGTTTTGGTGGCTATTTTATATCAAAAGATAAACAAAAGGAGGTTGCTGAGGAATATTGAAAAATGTCAGGGAAGTTTGATTCTTTTGATACAGAAAAATGGCTCTGTAAGTGCTAATAATTATGAAGCAGACAAATCCTGTCATATTGGATAGTTTCCATTTAAGAAAAACTTTACAAATATTACAGGGACAATTCTGAAATGCCAAGCTTTTGTTCTTGCAGACTCTTAGTAATACACATTTAATAGCTTATTTAAAAGACATTGTTTTGTTGACCAAAATGGAAAGGGAAAATGAGGCAACCCAAAGTTGCTAAAATATGAGTTTGTGAAAACCTAAGGAATGGGATGGGGTGGGAGGGAGTACCCAGAGGGATGGAACGTATGCATACCTATGGCTGATTCATGGCAGAAACCAGCACAATATTGTAAAGCAATCATCCTTTGATTAAACAAAAAGCCTTTTTTAAAAATATGAATCAGGAATAGCGGAGGAATTGCAATTTGAGATGTCAAAACAATAGCAAACTATAAACAAGTCTGTTGAAGGCTTGAGGTTAGCTGTATTTATGGGCAGAAACATAAAGAAAGGAGAATTCAGTTAGAGTTTTTAAAAATATACAAGTGGAGATAAAACCAGCCTTGCCAGACAAACAAACTCAATTCAGCTTATTTTGTGAGCCAACTTGACCTGGGTCAGTTTTTGTTCATCCCTCCAGAAACCACATAGGACATTTCCTGGGGTTGGTATGAAGCAATCCCTGACAAGTTCTCTCTCATTTAAGAAATGCCAATATTACTAGTTCTCTATAAGTCACATACTTACAGCAAATAATTTCTCAATCCTTAAGTTTTTGTCTTTTCCTGAGGGCATATGTGTGAAATTTTTCCATTTTACACCCTCTGGCTCCGTTTTATATTAAAATTCTCTTACAATATCAACGTGTCGGCCAACTCAAAGGGGGAAAAATGATAGCATGACTTGAAAATAGCAAAATAAAATTATTTTATTAATTGATTTTAAACTTAGATTACCATTAATTAAGGGCTTCCCAGGTGTTGCTAGCGGTAAAGAAACCCCCTGCCAATTCAGCAGACTTAAGAGATCTGAACTTGATCCCTGGGTCAGGAAGATCCCTGAGGAGAGCATGGCAATCCACTCCAGTATTCTTGCCTGGAGAAGCCCATGGACAGAGGAGCCTGGTGGGCTACAGTCCATAGGGTCACAAAGAACTGGACGACTGAGTGTCTGAGCACGAGTGAAAAGTGAGGATTGCCCACAGTAACTTGGAGGAGGTCCAATTCAGTTCAATTCAGTTGCCCAGTCATATCCGACTCTTTGCAACCCCATGGACTGCAGCACACCAGGCCTCCCTGTCCATCACCAACTCCTGGAGCTTACTCAAACTCATGTCCAGTAAGTCGGTGATGCCATCCAACCATCTCATCCTCTGTCATCCCCTTCTCCTCCCACCTTCAATCTTTCCCAGCATCAGGTTCTTTGCAAATGAACCAGTTCTTCACATCAGGTGGCCAATGTATTGGGATTTCAGCTTCAGCATCAGTCCTTCCAATGAATATTCACTACCAATTTCCTTTAGGTTGGACTGGTTGGATCTCCTTGCAGTTCAAGGGACCCTCAAGTCTTTTACTTCAAAATAAAAATTTATGCTCCTTTAGTTAGACATAGTAAATCAAACACAGCTACTTAATTATTTTTAGCAACACGTTTTCCAGGGAAAATGTTAGTCATTTTATAATCATGTCACAGTGTGCTTTTTGCCAAAAGCACTAAAACTCAATAGGTTTCATTAAAAAGTGAACATAAGATAGTCTTTCTTCAAAATAAAATCATTTGTGGCTTTAGTTGGCCCCTCAGTTTAGTTCAGTTCAGTTGCTCAGTCTTGTCCAACTTTTTATGACACCATGAACCACAGCATGCCAGGCCTCCCTGTCCATCACTAACTCCGGAGTCCACCCAAACCCATGTCCATTGAGTTGGTGATGCCATCCAACAATCTCATCCTCTGTCATCCCCTTCTCCGCCTGCCCTCAATCTTTCCCAGCATCAGCATCCCTTCAAATGAGTCACCTCTTCACATCAGGTGGCCAAAGTATTGGAGTTTCAGCTTCAGCATCAGTCCTTCCAATGAACACCTGGGACTGATCTCCTTTAGGATGGACTAGTTGGATCTCCTTGCAGTCCAAGGGACTCTCAAGAGTCTTTTCCAACACCACAGTTCAAAAGAATCAATTCTTTGGTGCAAAGCTTTCTTTACAGTCCAACTCTCACATCCATATGTGACCGCTGGAAAAACCATATCTTTGACTAGATTGACCATATCTTGACTAGATTACTTTGTTGGCAAAGTAATGTCTCTGATTTTTAATATACTAAGTTGGTCATAACTTTCCCTCCAAGGAGCAAGTGTCTTTTAATTTCATGGCTGCAATCACCATCTGCAGTGATTTTGGAGACCCCCAAAATAAAGTCTGACACTGTTTCCACTGTTTTCCCATCTATTTGCCACAAAGTGATGGGACCAGATGCCATGATCTTAGTTTTCAGAATGCTGAGTTTTAAGCCAGCTTTTTCACTCTCCTCTTTTACTTTCATCAAGAGGCTTTTAGTTCCTCTTCACTTTCTGCCATAAGGGTGGTGTCATCTGCATATCTGAGGTTATTGATATTTCTCCCAGCAATCTTGATTCCAGCTTGTGCTTCCTCCAGCCCAGCATTTCTCATGATGTACTCTGCATATAATTTAAATAAGCAGGGTGACAATATACAGCTTTGACATACTCCTTTTCCTATTTGGAACCAGTCTGTTGTTCTGTGTCCAGTTCTAACAGTTACTTCCTGACCTGTATACAGGTTTCTCAAGAGGCAGGTCAGGTGGTCTGGTATTCCCATCTCTTTCAGAATTGTCCACAGTTTATTGTGATCCACACAGTCAAAGGTTTTGGCATAGTCAATAAAGCAGAAATAGATGTTTTTCTGGACTCTCTTGCTTTTTTGATGATCCAGTGGATGTTGGCCACTTGATCTCGGGTTCCTCTGACTTTTCTAAAACCAGCTTGCACATCTGGAAGTTCACAGTTCAGGTATTGCTGAAGTCTGGCTTGGAGTATTTTGAGCATTACTTTGCTAGCGTGTGAGATGAGTGCAATTGTATGGTAGTTTGAGGATTCTTTGGCCTTACCTTTCTTAGGGATTGGAATGAATACTGACCTTTTCCAGTTCTGTGTCCCCTAAACCTCTAAAATTGAAGTATTTTTCAAGTAGCGCTTCCTCAGTACTTTTTGTCTAAGTTTGAATTGTTAGCTAAAGCAATAAATATTTCCATTATACTTATACTACTTGATATTTAAATTAATTCAATAATTTTATTTACAAATCTTAACTTGAGAACTTACCTTAGGCTTAGTAATTACAGCATCTCATAGGCCCAATCTTTTGTTAAGTTGTCAGGTTGTTAGTTGTTGTTAGGTTGTTAGGTTGTTAAGACCTACTCAAGATTTCTTACTCTATGTAAATATTAATAGCATACAAATTAGGGAATGGCAGTCTATAAATTCAGGAACCTTTCCTTTTGGAATTGTATTTAATTTTTAAGTGAAAAGATATCTAGTCTGTTAGCACATGAAATGAAACATGTTTGTATATGAGAGAAAAGAGAAAGATATGTCTTGTATAGAACTCTGTATTTCTTTGAAGTATGACTGAATTACAGTGCAATTTCTTAGATTTCAGCTATTACTTAGGAAAATAGATATTGTATCTCTATTGCAACCTTTTCATTAGTATATA